GCGTCTACCCAAATCTGCACCAGAAGCTGCTTTTGGAGTCGCTAATAATGGCTTTTAAAAACGTGTAAATGCTTTTTCTAGGCGCCACGGATAGGTACCTTGCACCCCTTCCTGCCTTCACTCCCTTCATTCTCCACCTGCTTTCACACCCCCTCCCCCCAAACCCTGCCTTCACTCCCCTCCGTACCTTCACTCCCCTCCGTACCTTCACTCCCCTCCGTACCTTCACTCCTCTCCGTACCTTCACTCCTCTCCGTACCTTCACTCCTCTCCGTACCTTCACTCCCCTCCTTGTAACCTCGCGTTAACACGCAGGGGCATTTCCGCGAGCTGGCGTCCATACTACATGCGACGAGGTTGGATGTGATGCCTCTCTCTGCGAAACAAGGCTAAACCGCGAAAAGGAGCGGCCCGTCAAGCGTGTGCCCCAAATCCTTCAATCAATTCTTGCTCTTCCCACCTGCTGTGCTTCTATTTCCAAGTGCGATTAGCCGAAGAAACCCACTCGCCGTTTCCTAATTCGCTCTAGACGCTGAGACCCGGCGCCTCTGTCCTCAATTTTTGTGCTTTCGCTGATGGCTTCGACGACCGTGACATCCGCCTTGACCACTTCCCAACAGTGAGCCTCGTTAGGTGTCGAGAGCATGGCCTTGTTCTGTCTCGGTGAACAAAGCACCCCTCCGACCGTTCCACCCTGGTTCCAGCCTGCGAAGCCCGGTTTCGTCCAGCGACTCCAATGTAAACGTGCCCCGCACCCCGCCTGTTCAGGCTTCAGGCTCAGAAACGCACTGGCTTGCTAGCCTTTTGGAGGTAGTGGGGGGATATTGCGCAACAGGCATAAAACTAGTGCATTCTTAATCCTATGTATAATTGTCTCTCCGCGCCAGGCTTAAAAATTGTCACAGAGTTAAGCCGAAGGCTAGAAACGAGGTGATCACGATAGTAGCAGATAGGTCAGAGGGTCGTGGTGCCAATATTGCTATAGGCTAGATACAACAACTTCAGCTTGACCTCGCAATCCCTTCATTGCCTCGGTCAAGCCGCCTAAGTCCTGTGGCCCCAAGGCCCGTGCCCTGGATGCCTGAGGTTCCCGTTGTGATGCCTGTGGCGCCAGTGTGGGGCTGGCCGTCCGGCTCCAGCCACGGGGTGGCTTCAGGCCCTCAATGATGTTCTGAGCTGTCCCGATGTCTCTCAAGAACGCCGTGGTTCTGCGTGCTGCCGCCGCCAGCATGTGGGTCTGGCCTCTCACGCCGTTGAATGGGTGGATTAGCACTAAGGGAAAGTGCTCGGGAACCTCGGATGGATCGACCGGGTCCGTTGAGAGGTAGACTCCCGTGTCCTCAGGGAAGTAGACTCCGACCATCTCACGGAGCTGCTTTAGGGTGGTGGAGGCCGACTCGGCCTTGACGGAGACTTCCAGCACCTCATAGGGCAGGCCCTCGTTCGATGTGTGGGATTTGAACAATGTCTGCTGGATCGTCACCGCTCCAAAGTCTGGGCTCTCAGGCATGGGCGGGAACTGAGGTGACGATGCCGGGCTGTCGGCGGAAAGCGGCCCCTCTCGGTCCAAGAGGGCGACAGCCTCGTTCAGCTTCTCAAGCCCCACCAAGAACAGAGGAACGATTTCCCAGCGGGCGTCCCGGCCCAAGGCGCAAGCGCAATCCGCAATGAAGTGTGCCGCCTCGCCAACCCTCACCCTCAGCTCAAAAGATCGGATGCCGCCCTTCTCGACTTTGTTAATCCACTCCCTCATCTCTTTGTTGGCTGCGATCGCTGGGATGAGCCGGGCAGCGGTACCGTTCATAGTGTCTGAGCCAGGGTGCCGCAAGATCTTAAGTTCGTGGGAGTCACCGTCGGATGAGTATTCAAAACACCGCTTCCTGATCTCCGAGAAGCCAGTCAGGGAGAAGAGCAGCTTGGAGACGTCGTAGCAGCAGTCGCCGGGCTCAAACTTCAGGTCCGCATCCCCGCCCAGTAGCGGAACACCGCGAGGATCGATGAGCGCCAAGTCCTCGTCGTCAGGGTCCAGCCGGCTGAGGATATTGTGGATGTTCAAGTCGCCATGGATCTCGGTCAGGACCTCGGGCCCAATCTTGTCCAGCAGGGGGTGCTGCTCCAGCCACTTCATGACCGTTTCGAACCCAGCCAGCTCCTTGCCATTCAGCCTGACGGTCTTCTGCTTCAGGATCTTGTCGAGCATCCCGTCTTGCGCGCGGGCGATCTTGAGCCGCCTCCTCATCCGCTCAAAGTGCGCCTTCTCAATGAAGTCGGGGTCGGCCTCTTCTTGACCCTCGGTCCAAACAGAGGTGGCCGTCCGCGCCAGCATGGCGACCAAGGCGCCCACCACCGGCCCATCGCCCGCGTTGGCGAAAATCAGCTCCCCGAAGGAGTGGCTCGGGATGTATGGCAGCTCAAGGGTGACGTCCTTGCCGCTATCAGTGACTTGTGTATGCTGTACGAACATGCCCGTCTTCTTCACGGCCTGGCTCGCGCTCAAGAACAGCGACTGTCGCATCAGCCATGGTGCTCGTTGCCATCGATGCCATTGCCCAGTGCCCACTTGCGGACCACCAACCGGCCGTCAGCCATCGGCACTCGCTCTCATCCAGAGGGTTGCCGGTGCCAGAGGGCTGTCCGCTGCTGCGCTGCTCGAGAACGACCACTGTGCCCGAACCGATGATCGCATCCACTCGAAGGTCCTCGAAGACAGGTTCGTCCAGGCTCCACTGCGGTTGCAACACGAATCTCTCGAGGAACTCAGCCATCGAAATGTTGCGCTGGCACAAATAGTCGCCCGGGATGAGAACCTTCGAGTGCCCGCTGGCGTCACCCAGAACGGCCACCACCAAGTGCTTGCGGTACTTCGACTCGATATCGATGACGCCGGCGGCCTCGCTGGGGGGTGATGGCGTTTTCTCGGGATTCTGCTTTGCCTCGAGGACGTCTTGCGCCCTCTTGTGGATGAGCTTGAACAGGCGGCAGATCGTCTTGACAGTATCGAGGCTGATGACATTAGAGATGGGTAGGGTGACGGAAGTCGCCGCTAGCAGTCGGCTGTGCTCGAGATCTCCTTCAACCCTCCCCTGGGCCGCAAACTTCTTGTTGGCAGCAACACATGGCATCCTGTCTGCGCTGCAGTGGACGTTCTCGGCTTTGAGAGCCCAGCAGAGATCCCTCGCGTTGAGTCCGAAGGCCTTGGCGTCGACCGTGAAGCTTACTTGGTAGTGGTTCGTTCCCAGACCGGCTGGGATCTGCTGGAAGGTGATGCCATGAATGCCGGCGAGGAGCTGGCGGTACAGCTTTCCGGCGGCTCCACGCATCTCAAGAGCCGTGGGGAGTGTCTCCAGTGCGCGAAGACACAGGCAGGCGTTGATCTCAGGCAACACCTCATGGCGTAGGACGCCGGTGGGATCGTTCTCCAGCAGGGCAGCCAGAGATTCGGGGCACACGATGAGGCCGCCCGATCCTCCCCCGGTGAGAACTTTGGGGTAGCCCAGGCTGCAGATGGTGGAATCAGCCAGGCCGACCGAGGGCGGCTTACCGTTGGTGGCACCGGAGCTCTGGGCGCTGTCCGGGGTCGGCTGGATGCCGTGCTTGTCGGCCAGCTTGCGGAAGGGTCGGAGGTTGCATTGAGTGCCAAGCCAGTCAACCGTGATAATAGCTGCCGTCTTCTCCGAGACGGACTGTTCGGCGAGTTCGGGCGACGGAGGCCATGACTTCGGGTCGACACCGACAAAGACCGGGACGAGCTTCTCGGCGAGCACGGCTTCGACAGTCGCCCCAACCGTAGTCTGAGTCACGATGATCTCGTTTCGGTCGCTAGCTGCGCCGACGGCAGCGCGGATACCTTTAAGGGCAGCTCGGAGTGTGTGAGTGCCGCTGCTGACGCAGACGACCGACATATAGTCGCCGAGGTCGAGGAAGTCCCCGATGCGGCGTTGCAGCATGACACGGAAGCTCAGACCCGGCCTCTCGACGCCCGGCAGGATCTTGGCAACAAAGCGCTGCCGGCTGGCATGGCCCTTGGAGTCCTCGTTGGAATTGTTGGCGAGGATCATATCGACTGCATTGAAGTCGCCCTTGGGACGGTTGCCCTGCGTCTTGATCAATGGGACGGGGTTGCCAGGTGGGAAAGCCGGACAGGCGCCAAGCACTGCGAGCTGGCGAAGGGTGCTTGAAACAGGAGCCATGACGTGCTTGGTCGTTGGGGATTCCTGGAGTTGAAGGCGGTACTGCTTCCCGTTAGAGTGTGGACGAGCCGCGACGCTGGAGCAGTTCTGTCGACTCACCAGAGTTTTGGGGAGTGAAGGGATTTGATAGAGTGTTGATAGAGAGGAGCAAAAAGAGCAAAGAAAGTTCAGTATCAAGGTGTCTTTTAGAATGAGCTTGAGAGTGAGCTTGGTGAATGGAGAGTTGTTCGAAGGCGCGTAGGAAGCCTGCTTTATATCTATTGACGAGAGCTATGTCTTGCAAGACGTAAAGACATTTGGCCTGGCCTAGGTATCTCAGAAGTGCTTCTAATCCTGAGCGGTGGCCCGTTTGGCATGTCCCGTCGACCATCATGTTTGACCATCCCCCAAGTCCGCCTTGTATTGGCCTCGCCTAGCCTCTCTTACACCGACGCTCTTACACATGGCGATAGCAGCCACAGGTGGTGGTGGCAGCTCTAGGCCATGGGATAGGTCGAAGAGATTGTAGTGGAGCGCCTTTTCCCTTCTGAGAGAGCAGGGGTCTTCTGGCACTTGAGGGGATGCCGCTCCAAAGGGTTCTAGCGCTTTGGGACTGTAAGCGCCGGGCAGTGCTGGCTGACGGCCGGGAAACGCACGCCGCGAATTATTTGCGGCGGCCTTATGACGTGGAGACCCATCGGGCGGTCCGCCAGCCTCGTCGTCGACTCCCATATGGACCAACAGACAGAGATTCGCCGACTTGGCCGTTGCGTGTTTCGGCCGGCGAAGCAAACCAAACCCCGCCACGCCGATGCAGCCATGCGTATCTCTGCTTTGTTTTGGGCGTCATTAGGGGGACCGCACGTTTTGGTGGGGACCGCAAATAGAGGGGCGACGGATCCACCGCAGTACATCGAAGGCGGGCATCCCAACTCGCTACGTGATCGGCTAAAAAGTTTCTACAATTACCTCGACGCATGCGGCCTCTCACCCTACCAGCATCTCACGTCGCTCGAAATTTACGGCTACACGCTTACGCCCCAAGTGCTGCTATGGCTGGTTCACTTTAAATCATGGAGGCGCAGGAGACGTGCACAAAGGGCGCGACCGAGGAGGGCGTGGTCGGGCCCTGCAGCAGCTCGGGCCAAGCAACAGCGTCCCTTTCCCGTGGTGGCATTCCCGTTTTTGTTATAGCAACCGTGCTGGAACCACGAGCGCGCCACGCGCAGCGACGATACCGCGTGCGCTTTCGGCCACAACGCTACATATGTTGCCGCCGTGCGTTTATAAATCGCGATCTTTCGGTTCCGGGACCTCGAGCACCTCCAGGACCTGATCCTACCGAGCTACATGCGGACGAGAAACCCATATCATCCACCCACGTCCTTACGATGCATTTGACAGCCGCTCACGCCCGCCCCGCCGGCAGACGCAAACGGCGGTAGGCCGCGTCGCCCGATTTCCCGCCTCGTAAGCGCACCGCTCGCCCAGCACCTCGCCCCTCCGCCCACGGCAGCCTTCACATCTCCCCACACGT